ACACACACAGACAACCCCGTGACAATATGCGTTTTGTACTGCTGTTACACAGTACAAAACGCATAATAAATGACAACGCGCACCAGACTAGCCGGTGCGATCATGCGTTTTGTGCAATTCAGCCGATAACGATATTTGCCTGTTAATGATTTTCACTGCTTTGTACTTTAGTCTATGCAAAAATAGTTCAAACATTGAAAACCAGACGTAATGATTTTTACTTCCTTGTACTTTAGTCTATGCAAAAATAGTTCAAACATTGAAAAACAGTTAAGAAAATGATTTTCACTGCTTTGTACTTTAGTCTATGCAAAAATAGTTCAAACATTGAAAAACAGTTAAAGATTTCACTTCCTTGTACTTTAGTCTATGCAAAAATAGTTCAAACATTGAAAAACAGTTAAAAACTTTTCACTGCTTTGTACTTTAGTCTATGCAAAAATAGTTCAAACATTGAAAAATAGTTAAAAATTTCATGCACCAGTTCACTGCTTTGTGCTTTAGTCTATGCAAAAATAGTTCAAACATTGGAAAACAGTTAAAAATTTCAACAGACTAGCCGGTGCGATAATGCGTTTTGTGCAATTCGGCCCATCGAACGATTGCCTATTAATGATTTTCACTGCTTTGTACTTTTGTCTATGCAAAAATAGTTCAAACATTGGAAAACAGTTAAAAATTTCACGCATCAGCGCATGAAAACTGAATTCGAAACCTTGAACGATTAATATCTTTCAGTGATTCCCGAGTTAATAGTTTACCCGCCAGAATTTTCACGAGGCCGTAGGTGGTACCAGAGAGCGCGAGAACGCTGAATTTGAATGGCAAGGTTGAACGTGGGCAGAGGGTCATTACTGTAAAACTTCAGCCTCCTAGACTCCGTGGTTCGCAAGCACGCCGCGATCAATGAGGGAAGGCAGAAGGGGGCGTTGTGTGTGCACCACTGGGGTAGTCAGTAGACAACACAGTGCACTCAGTGTGCACTAGAGGAGGCACACTGCCACTCGCTAAACGGTACAACCATACTGCTGAGCACAATATATAAGACGACAGGCAAAACACACCTAGATCACTGATGCCCTGTGTCGACGTGGGAGTCGTACATCACATATGCACTTGCATGTGCATTTACACACATATGTTGTGATGTTTAAGTTTCATAGCTGATGTTCGTTTAATAGAGGTGAGTTTAGTGATTTTCCCCTACGTATTATCGCGTAATATATTAAATAATGATTAATGGTTTTTGTTAAAAATAGAATAAACGCCAACTGCGTTACTGTGACGCAGTACTCCTCTCCCTGGTTCAAACTTTGACCACCCTACCCTCATCAAACTTTCGATCTTTGTTCTCTGGGGTATAAAAGCACTTCTCCCCATCGCGGGGATCGCCACTATCGATCTACTATTGCGACCTACTTATTCTATATAACTAATACTCCTATTCTAGGGAGCTTCGGCTCCCCAGAGCCTCACCACCTTTTTGTGCATTATCCTTTTAACTTACTATGTATTAATAAACATGTATATAGGACGCGACGTTTTACACACACATGCAAACGGGGCACACACTAATCTAATAAGATAACAGTTAAGTATTTAATAACTTTTGCGCGGTAAATTTCTAATTTTTAGGCACGGGAACTTGGTACATTGCCACAGTCTGTAAGTCA